TCTCGATACTCCAGTACAATCGTTAGAAACTCTTCTGACATCCATTTTGATTCTTTCTTTCTCCTCTGCTTTTGTAATGACCTTTTACTTTCTTCATGGATATTATCCCACAACTCATCTGGTCTTCAATCATTTGTGTTCAATACCTCAAACTTATTCTTACGATGATCTTGAAATTCAGATGGGAGCGATTCAAGATCATATCTTGGTTTCTGTGGACTTATTTTAATTTTTTGAGCCTCAATTTGAACTTGCATATTAGTAATTGGTGTTACGACCCAGAATCTGCCCTAGTTTTGACTGCCAATATTGAGCTTCTCCAATGATTTCTTCCACAAATGTAGTCAACCTGATTCCTGTGCAGCGCATCAAGTGAGATCCATGTGCAAAGTCATCATTTTGGTCTTTTATAAAAGGTATTTGCAATTAATAAATGATTGCCTTTGGTATGGATTGTATATTAATGCCAAGAAAACAGATTCTTACCACTGGACTGATAGTGTCATGATAGATGGAAAGGAGATAGAAACTGTCAATAGCTTCATCTTGCTTGGATCCACAATTAATACACTTGATACCAGCAGTCAGCAAGTAAGGCAAAACATTGTACTAGGAAAATATGCAGTTAGGGACCTTTCCAAATTATTGAGGAGTAGTGATGTCAGTTTGAGAATTAAGGTGTGTCTGATTCAGGCCATAGTCTTTTCAATCACTTGTAATGTATCTAAGAGCTGGACAATAAACAAGGATGACAGAAAAAGAATTGATACATTTGAGCTGCGATGTTGGAGAAGAGCACTGAACTTTTCATGAATGACCAAGAAAATAAACAGATACATCTAGGAGAGGGTGCAGTGGAATGCTGTTTGAAAGCAAGATTATGAGGTTTCACCTTACATACTTTGGGCATTGTGCTAGAAGGGCTATTCCTTGAAGAAGGACATGATGCTAGGAAAGTGGAGGGTCAGTGAAGGGGAGAATGACCCTTAACTAGGTGGATTGACATGGCGATTGTTGCAATGGGTTCTTATGTGTCAGAAGGTGTCAGGATGTCACAGGAGAGAAAAGGGTTCAGATCTTTGCTTCATAGGGTCATATGAGTCACACTCAACTAGATGGCACCTAACAACAACAACATATACATATGAATGGAGGCCTTTTATGGCATTGGTGAAGAATATTAAATATATCATAGACTTCCAAAAGGATAAACAAGTCTGTCTTAGAAGCCAGGACAATTCTTAGAAGTCAGAGTGATGATACCTTGTCTCACAGACTTTATACATGTTATTAGGAGGGATTAGTTGCTAGAAAAGGACATATTTTGGCAGTTGTTGTTATGAGGTGCCACAGAATTGAGTATGATTCATAGTGACCATATTAACAACAGATCTGATCCCTACCTGTTCTGTGGTATCCTCATCATTTCTGACATGCTTGAGCTCACTGCTGCAGTCACTGTGTCAATGCATCTCATTAAGAGTCTTCCTCTCTTTTGCTGACCCTTCACGTCTCCAAGTGTGATGCCCATTTCCATGTCCAGAGTATTTGAGATGAAACTTCACCATCTTTCTCTCCAAGAAGAATTGTAGCTGCACTTTCCTGAAGATTTATCTGTTTGTTTTCCTGGAAGTCCATGGGATATTCAGTGCTCTTCTCTAACATCACAAGTCAAAGGCATCAATTTAAAAAAAAATAGCATAAATTCTTATTCTGCCATTCATATTCATTGTCTAGATGCCAGATGCATAGGAAGTAATTGAAAATATCAATCTGATTGAAAATATCAGTCTGACTCAGGCACACCTTGGTCTTCAAAGTGATGTCATTGCTCCTCAGTAATTTGGAGAGGCCCCTGACAGCAACTTGTTCAATGCTATATACCTCCTGATTTTATGTCTGTTGGTATCAAGGTGCTCCAGCGGGTTTTCAGAGGTAATTAATCATCACACAGGAGGAGATTGCCCATCCTTCTCCCGCAGAACAGCTGGCAGATTTTAACCACATACCTTCAGGATTGTAGTGCAGTTTCTTACCACTAGGCCACCAGAGCTCCCTTTTTGCATCTTAGTTGCATTTTTTTTTAACAATTATATAATTTTTAGTAGTGGTTATGTGTTAAAATTAGTTTAAAAAATTCATGATAATTAAATTATTTACTTTTTCAAGTCTTTATGAGTTGCATATTACTACACAGAAGAGGTCTTTAGTGATTGGGTAGGGATGTGATGCCAAATTGACACTAGAATATTATGCAAAGTAAATTAAGTGAAAGGAACATATTTGAATGGCATCCGCTTCTGAAATAGCTTGCCTCTGGAAACCCTATGAAATTGGAGATAATGAAAGTTCTACAATTGTTCAGGTCTTTCATTCATAGGGTCACTGTGAGTCATCTATGACTCGACAGCACTTAACAACAACAACAACATGGTTAACATATGTTGTTGATGTTGTTATGTGCCGTCGAGTCACCTGCAACTCATAGCAACCCTATGTACAACAACCCTAAAACCTGCTCTATCCTATGCCAATCTTAGTGTCTGTGACACACCTATCTCCATTATCCCAGTTATCAAATCAATCCATTTCATTGAGGGTCTTCCTCTTCTGTGCTGTCCTTCCACCCTCCCAAGCATGATATACTTCTCCAAGGACTGACTGGTCCCTCTTTGCAACATGTTCAAAGTATGCCAGACAAAGCTTCAGAATCCTTGTCTCCAAGGAGAAGCATGGTCTCACCCTCTCTAGGATGAACTTGTTTGTCCCAGCAGTCCATGAGTATTCAATACTCTTCTCCAGCACCACAGCTCAAAGTCATCAATTTTCCTTCTATCATCCCTAGTCATTTTCCAGCTTTCTGATGCATAGCAAATAATTGCAAAGACTGTGGCCTGGATCAGGCGCACGTTAGTCTCCAGACTCACATCGTTGCTCTTCAGAACACTGGAGAGGTCTCTGACAGCAGACTTCCCCAATGCAATTTGTCTTTTAATTTCCTGGCTGCTGGTACCAAGAGTTTAGACTGTGGAGCCAAGCAAACTAAAGCTGTTAACAATCTCAATTTCCTCACTATCTGTCATGATGCTACCAATTGGCCCAGTTGTGAGAATCTTTTTTTTTATGTTAAGTTTCAATCCATATTGAAGGCTGCAGTCCTTGGCCTTCTGCAGCAAGCACTTCAGGTCCTCCTCAGTTTCAGCAATATATTATACCTGAAATAGTGTTTTCCTTTATCTTTGCAGTATGTGGACAAATTAGATATAATGGATCTTACATGCCTCACTGATCAGAACTCAGCTGAAAAGAATTGTGCGAGATTCACCCTTGTTTTACCCAAAGAGGAAGTGCAACTGAAGGTGAGTAAAGAGAAGCAAATTTTGAGTTTTGACTATAAATAGCATTTACCTCTTCTTGAGCAATTGAAGTAAAGTTGTAAAAGGAGAAATAAGTCTTGTACTTTGTTAACATTTCTTACCTTTTGCCATGAACTACAGTTTTCTGAATTAGGACTTAAAAGAGTATGTTCATTTGTTTAGTATACAAATATGTTGAAACAATAAATACCCTTCTGTTCTCCAACAAAGTCAAAGATCCCAAGTGGTGTTTTCAAATCATCACTCAAATAAAGCCTATAAATGTCAATAAATAATTACAGTACCAACATAAAGAGATCATAATTGAGTAAAACATAGTAGGAGATATTTCCAGGGCATTCCTAATTGATGTTCAAAGTATTGGTCTTAAATTTTAGTGTAATAGAGATCACTTGGAACATACAGGTCCCAAATGAAATTCATGTCCAAGTATCTACAGTTTGCAAGGTCCTGAGATGGGTTTTTTGTGGTTGTTGGGAACACAGAGTTGGAGTAAGATTGCCTACAATCTGCAAGATTCTGCAAGCTGTTTTCTTTACCAATTGTGTGATTTTTGACAAGTTATTTGTGATTAGCTTACCCAGAAGCATATCTTTGCTAAAATGCAACCACTTTAATTTTTTTATTGGTTCTCATTCAATTCATACTCATATACATCTTGTTTTATATATTACTGTTTAAAATAAATCATTGCCATTTATTACATTGTCTTAACAAATCCTGCTTTACTTATCCCTTCACCATGAAGATTGAAGTTCTTAAAACATTTATAAGTACTCAGTAGATGTTGGCTGACATTATTACTACTAACAAAAGAATTGAAAGTATTTAAGGACTAACTACATTGCTCCTTCCTGGTTGCTCCATACTTAACGTCAGTCAATGTTAAGTACCATGAGTAGAATAATGATGAATTGACATAGTGCAGGTTTACTAATATATATGTTGACTTAATCTTTTTAGTTAGGAAAACATATACAATTTTACTTGTTTAGCAAGAAAATAGATTAAAATGATACACAGTTTTTAGAATTTATCTTTGTTATTTTGGAGAATATACATTAATACAATAATTTCTATATAACAATTCAGTTATATTGATGGCATTTTTTGAGTTGTGTAAACATTCCTACTCTCTCTTTTTGAGTCTTTTCTCCCTGATTAACATAACTTGATACATTCTAATTTTTTATCTAATCTTTTGAGTGCTGTTATCAATTTGATCCCACATAGATAGATCTCCAAAGAGATTGCTCAAAGTAGACTTTCTTTACTAGTTACACTAAACAATTTTTGGTTTTAAGACTACAGAGGCTCAAGGTTTTCGGGTTTAAAATTTATTTTCTCAAAACAATAGTTTTGGGGGTTCACACAGCCTCAGTGACTCTGGAGCCTCTGAATTCCATGAGACTTTTAAGTCCTGTTCTGTCTTTCTCTCTTTTGATCAGTGTTCTTCTATAGAACTATTCATCAAAATGCTCAGTAATAAACACCAGGCATCATCTAGTTCTGGTTTCATGACATTCTTGTCTTTTCACAAAAAAAAATATTGAAATATTTAATAATAACTATATAGTAAAGGAAAAACAAAAAATGTTTCTTCTTTTCATCTGATTTCAAAAACTACAGCTAACTTTTTTTTTTAGTTAACTAACTTTTTAAAGCAATGTACTTTAGTACAAGATTTTTAGTTTTGAAAATCTTGTTGAATTTTGATGGATTAGATATTTTGAGTCACAAAATAATCATATAAAATTCAAAATTTAATTGAATTTAATAATAGTTTTAGTGATCCTAGTCACTTATGGTTTTCTTCTTTATTTTGTCATCTTAGACAGAGAACACAGAAAGTGGGGAAGAATGGAAAGGCTTCATACTTACAGTAACAGAGGTAGGAAAGTCTTTACTTTTGCTTCATTCATTCAGCAAATATTTGCTGAATGTCTACTATGAGTTATATAATGAGAAAGGTTATAATGCAGTAAATAAAGGATAGACATAATCCATTGCGTATAAAATTTATGTTCTTAAGGAGAGAATGTGAAGAGAGAAAAATAAACTAACAAGATTATTTATATTGTTATAGAGAAAATAAACTAGGGAATGTGCTAGAGAATAATTGGCAATGAGAGAAAGCTAGTAAGATTTGGTTAAGATTTGCCCTTAACCTTTGATTATGAAGTCATTTATAAACTGATACTCATAAATTATGAAATATCTTCTAAAATATTTTCCTATTCCTTTCCTATTAACTTGATATATATTTTTTTATGAAAATCAAAAATGGATTTTGTGAATTCCACACACAATTTAACAGGAGACGTCTTAAAAATGAAAGTAACTTTTATATTTTTTTTTTAGTGAGACTTAACACAAAGGGTGCTTATCTGTTCAATGGTGTGGCTTCTTATCAGAGGCAAATAATAAGATCTGCTGTTAATAGTTAACTGTTCCTGCAAGATAATATCATTATTTTAACTAAAGCCACTGTAGCAACTATCTTAGACTCATGGAGTACTTTGCTAACTGGTGTCCAAAAAAATATCACAGTCTAATACTTTTAGTGGCTATGAACACCTTCCATGTTTATAGGAATTAAACATAGAGTATCTGAAGCTAGTTTCCAAGAAAAGGCTTTGCAATCATATGAAAAAGCATTATTTTTTCTATCCACTCATGGGTGCATGGACGGATGTTAGTTATTGATGTCAAGTAGTAAAAGGTTAGAGGTTCATATAAGTCTATAGGGAAGTGATAGTGTTGCTTTTTGTTTTGTGTGTCATCAAGTCGATTCTGGCTCAGATCAGCCCTATAAGACAGAATAAAACTAAAGGCTGTCATCTTTCTCCTACAGTTTGAACTACCAGCATTATAGTTTGCACCACACACTTAACTATTAAGCCTCCAGGGTTCCTAGAGAGTCAAATAAGGCTAGAAAGAGGGATGGGAAACAACTGAAGATTTAGAGGCTCCACTGACTTGGGAATGAGGAGAAACTCTTTGGAGAGGTGTCTGTCTTTCTGTTTCTCCATTTCTCTTTTGTGGAGAAGCATCATGACGTTTGTGAAGCTAAGTTACAATTATTTTAAGGATATGACTACAAGTCATAGAATGCTAAATGCAAAAGAACTTTTAAGAGTGGAACTAAAATTTAAAGCAATACTAAGAAGTTATTATGTAATCAGTGTTTTGGATGTGAAAACATAATACTTAAATTGGTTGTTCTTAAGAAATAGAAGGAGAATTGATGCCTTTGGGCTATGGTGCTGGAGAAGAGTGCTGAATATACCATAGATTGGTAAGAGAACAAACAAGTTTGTCCTGGAGAAAGTGAAGTCAGGCTGCTCTTTGGAGGCAAGGATCCTGAAGCTCTGTTTGACATACTTTAGACATGTTGCAAGGAGGAACCAGTCCTTGGAGAAGGATGTCATGCTTGGGAAGGTGGAGGGACAGCACAAGAGAGGAAGACCCTCGATGAGATGGATTGATTCAGTGACTGGGGTATTGGGGTAGATGTGTTAGAGACAGTAAGATTGGTGCAGAATATAGTAGAGTTTAGGGCTGTTGAACATAGGGTCGCTATGAGTCGCAGGTGACTTGATGGCACATAACAACAAACAACAGCAAGAAATGTGGCATGATGAATGGAGAGGAGATTGGAACTGTCAACATCTTCATCTTGCTTGGATCTGCAATTAACATCCTTTGTACCAGTAGTCAGGAAATAAGGAGATGTACTGCAATGGGAAAATGTGCAGTTAGGAACCTTTCCAAATTATTGAGTAGTAGTGATGCCAGTTTGAGGACTAAGGTGTGTCAGATCCATGCCATAGTCTTTTCAATAACTAGCTATGTATATGAGATCTGGGCAATGAATTAGGATGTCAGAAAAAGAATTCATGCCTTTGAGATGTGGTGTTGGAGAAAAGCACTGAACATCTTATGGACGGCCAAAAGAACAAACAGATATATCTTGAAGAGGTGCAGCTGGAGTGATTTTTTTGAGGCAAGAATGATGAGAGTTTGTCTCACATACTTTAGATGTGTTGCTAGGAGGTGCTATTCCTTAGGGAAGGACTTGATGCTGGGGAGGATGGAGGGTCAGCGAAGGAAAGGAAGACCCTCAACCATGTGGATTGATATGGTGACTGCTACAATAGGCTCTGTGTGTCCGGAAGTGTGAGGATGGCGTAGGATAGAACAGGGTTCAGATCTTCTGCTCATAGGGTCACTATGCATTGTGCTTGACTCGACGGCACCTAACAACCATAATAACGAGAAATGTAGCAGCATCAAGGTTTGTAGTGTTAAAGAACAGAGCCCAAGATGTCTGCATGGGTTTAGTGAGTTTTGAGAGGAAATTCATTAAAATATCCTTTCAAATCTTTTCTTTCTCTTAAGTGTTGTTTTTTACCATTGAGACAGAACCAACCTATAACTGACCCTCCAGAGGATTAATTAATTGCTTATTTCTCTCCTGCAGAGCAGCTGGTATATTTGAACCTCATACCTTTGGGCTGTCAGTCCATCTCCTTACCACTAGGCCCCTTTTCTTGAGTGTACAAGTTTGCTTCAAAAGATCTGAAGAGACCAATCCCTTTTGAGCAGGCTCTCAGTTAACTGTCGGGAATGGAGGAATTCAATTGCAGATATTTAATTGTATAGCCGAGATAATGATTTGTTCTAAAACTTAGGTTATTTATCATCTTAAATTTTTACCTTGTAAAACAAGTTAGGAGCCATGCTCTTCTGGAGTGGGCATTAAAAAAAACTCTTTTAGCTTCCAAAGGGATAACTAAAACTACCATATAAAATGTGGTAAATCTTGATGAATGAACTATACTTAATGTTTTGGCCCACAATATCATTTTCAGTATAATTTCCTTTAGATAAAGAAAAAAAACATTATTTTTATGAAAATATATATTGATATATGCAGTCCCCGAGTTACAAACAAGATTAATGGCTTTCTTTAATACTTTACAGGTAAGTTTGAACAGGCACATGTAATTCTCATGTAGCCTTTATTTAGAGTAAACCACTCAAAACCTCACTGTGTCAAGTCAGACCCGACTCATAGCTGACCGTCCTTGAGTTTCAGAGGCTTCTCATAGCACAGAGGGAGAGTGCAGGTATTTCTCATGCAGAGCTGCTGGTGGATTTGAAAGGCCAGAGTCTTGGCTTCTGGGTTAGCTGCACAACTGTCTACGTACTATGCCACCAAATCACCTTTTGTAGTAAGAACTAAAGATCTGAAGTCTTTTCAATAATTTAAAAACTGCATGTGCACCAAGTGAAGGTGCTTTTGATTAAGAATTTGTTTTGACAATGAAAGAATTTTTCTTTCACTTTTCAAAGAGAAGAGTGAACTGGGGGGAGGTTGGGCAGGGAGAAAAGTGCAACAATGAATGAATGGAAATCCAAAGTCTTTGTAAACTTTCATTAAAATTAACAAAAAGTATAATATAAAAAGACTTTGTTTTGAGTTGGTGGACTTGTCTCGAAGTGAGAGCAAATTTGTATGCTCTTAAAGAGCAAGTAGGAGTTGTTCACATAATTGGATGTTCATAACAAGGGAACTGCTTGTATATTTTGAAATATCAAATTTAATTCATGTGGACTTTTAAGGAAAGACAGGTTGCCTCATGTTTTATGCTCTGTAAATGTTGGTTTTTATTATCATCTCCGACCACTCTGAATGTATATCCATATTTTGTTTAGAGAATTTTAGTCAAAAGGTTTGAAAAGCACAGACTATAGTTTAAAGAAGTGAGATGTGTTTCTGAAACATAAAAATTTATGTTTAAGTTGTGCTTCAAATCCACCAGATGCTCTGCTGGAGAAGGAGGGGCAATCTCCTCCTATACCAGTCAGATTCAACCTGACAGTACACATACACACACCCACACACACACACACAAAATTTAAAAAATTATGTTTAAGTCTTGGTTTCACAAATTAGTAGCTATATGGCCATGCACATTTTATTGAATCTTTTTTTCTTCTTCATTTGTAATGTGAGAATAGCAATACTCATCTTGAAGCATTGTTAGGAAGGTTTGAAATAATACATGTAAAATGTTAGGGACATAATAGGTAGTAGTTATTATAATAAGTAGCTAATGTAATAAGGAGTAGCTATTTTGTAGGAAAAAGCTCTGATAGTATAGATGTTAAAAATTGTAACTGCTTGGGTGGAGGGAGAAGTGAATTAAGGAAATGAGAAAGATCCAGTGTGAAAAACAATGTGTAAAAACTTTGTTCCAGTATAAAATAAAAATTTTATACTAAAAAAACAAAACAAAACAAAACACAACACTGCAACTGCTAACCATAAGGTAAGAAGTTTGAACTGACCACCTATCCAGGGGAGGAAGATGATGAGGCAATCTGCTTCTGTAAAAATATACAGCCTTGGGAACCCTAAGAGGCACTTCTCTGTTCTCCAGGGTCACCATGAGTTTGAATCAACTCGATGGCAATGTGTTTCTGGTTTTGAATTTCATAGGAGTTCTAGTAGCACTATGGTTTAATCATTGAGCTGCTAACTGAAAAGTTGGCAATATGAATCTATCAACCACTTTGTGAGAGAAAGATGATACAGGCAGCTTTCACAAAGATGTGTAGCCTTGGAAACCACATGCAGAAGTTCTACTCTGTCCTCTATTGTTGCTGTAAGTCGAGGTCAGCTTGACATCAAAGAGTTTGGTGTGTTTTTTGGTTTAGGCATTTCATTAGTAGGCCTAAATAGTAAAAACAATTACACACTTAACTGCTAGATAAAAGGTTGGCAGTTCAAACCTATCCAGAGGTCTATCAGAAGATAGCCTCCGTACTCTGGTTCTGAGAGTTCTGTCCTGAAAACCCTATGGATATTTACCTGGCAGAGGAAATATCGTGGTTTTCCCAAAATGAGGCTCATGCATTGCACTCTGGATGTTCTAATCCTTGAGATCCCCAAAAGTGGAGAACTTGAATGTATAATTTGTAGTAGCAACAAAAGAAAATTTTAAAAAAGCAATCCTCTGGAACAGTTTTACTCTACATACTAAATTACCATGAGTTGTTCACTCAATGGCAAGTAAAAACAATTATAAGAAAGTGGGAATACTCTACTTTGGGAATAAACCAAAAGAAAGATGTCCTGTTGAGATTTTAGTTTGTTTAGAAGCAATTTCTAAGACACCTTTCCTAGAACAGTAACTTGTACTGACAATTCTACCAGTTTATTTCTGTTAGGTAACTGAAGCTGCATAGAGTAGGATCTGGGCCACCTTTGCTAATTATTTTGCTTCTTTCTTGGCTGGCTATTCTTTTCATTGGTTTTCAGCTCTCTGTTCCTGAGCATGTGTCACTCCTACCTGGGCAAGTAATTAGACTGCATGAAGTCCTAGAAAGAGAAAAGAAAAGGAGGATTGAGACAGAGTGGCTACCTAGTAGTACATATGTTGAAAAAGAGACAATTGAAGATTATGTGGATGTACTGAACCCTATGCCAGCGTAAGTTCACAACAAATACATTCACTAGATTGTTACATACTAATTATTAGATATCTAGAGGAGTTAGCCATTTGAACTCATTAAAATGGGGTCATTAAGCTACCTTGGGGATAAACTGCATATCTCTATGTCTGTGCCACATTTCCTCTTCTATGTTATAATCAACAAAACATACATTTTAACCAACTCTTTTACCACACAGGAAATCCCCTTCCACTCACACTTTTAGACCAAATAGATTTCTTTCCAGAGCTTGAACCTAAATGAAACTGTTACTAAGAAAGAAGGAAAAGATATTTTTCACTTCACAACTCTATGATTCACCATTTTTCAGTGCTAGTATAAGAAATTATCAACCAGTGTGGAAGTCATTGAGCTTTGAGGAGGACCCTGTGTATGTGTAAGGTGGTGTTAATGGAGAGATGGGAAAAACACAGAGTGTAGTGAATATATATTCCATATATAGCTCTTACGCTAATGCTGATTAAAACTGTGACCTAAGTAGTCACAGTTTAGAGGCAGTTCGATGATGATGATGATGTTAGGTGTCATCAACTTGGCTCCAATTCTTAATAACACTATGCAATGCAGACCCTAAGTACAACAAACCTTGCCGTGTCCTGTGCTACTCTCACATTAACTGTACCTTTCCCCCCCTGGAGTCATGCTTCCTTGTCAGTGAAACTTTTCCTGGTACCACCTTGGACATCAGATTCTGATATCTATTATAGCTGCATAAAAAATCACAGAAATATGTCAGCCATCACTTCTAGCTAAAACTAGTGACAGTTTATAAGACACATAACTTTTTTTCCTCTGAGAGAAAAATATGTATTAATTACCAATATTAAAATAATTTCTTGTCCGACAAGCTCAGAGGTAATTACTTACTATTAAAATCTGGTGTATGGGGTATCCTGTCAGTCTGTGGTTTGTTTCTTTTTCTATGCCTTAACATTTCAATGATTATAATGTATAATAATGAGAAGTACTTTGCTTTTTACTTTGCATATTTAAAAAATATGCAAAACCAGTGAGTTCAAACATACCTTACATATCAGTTGTTTAAAATAGAGATATATGAGAGAAGCAATTCTAAAGATATTTTGTATCCCTGTACAAAGTTGTTTTGTACTTACCAACAAATGCCAAAAACTTTGAGACTGAGAACACCTTGCTAATTCCTAAATTTTTAAATGGTATCGGTGATTGTATACATATAAATAGAAAACTTTTCAAGTCATCTTTGGAGAGATGAAAGATAGAGAACCTTACTCATCAGATGCAAATTTGGTGTAGTTAAAATTGTAATTGCAATGAAAGGACCATTGGTGGCACCATAGTCAAAACTTAGGCTGCTAATGCAGTATGCTTATTGTAACAAGGGCTTCCTGCCTGGCATATGGTAAAAGGCTTAACCACTAACCAAAGTGTTGGCTGTTTGAATCTACACAAAGGCTCTCAGAAGACAAACCTGGTAATCTGTCTTCAAATGATTCACAGTCTTGAAAACTCTATGGAGCACAGTTCTATTCTGACACATGTGGGATTATCATAAGTTGGAATCAACTCAAGGGCTAACAACAGCAATTATAATAAAGCTGGAAGACTTGAGAAAAGTTAGTAACTGCAAATTGCAAATACAAAGTTAGGTTAAGCACTTTTTGTGTAATGGTTTTCTTCAGTTTTGAAAACACTCAACACCAACAAAATTCCATTTTTCCCCTCTTATCTCTGTAGATGCTTTTATGCAGTTTCCAGGAAAGAAGCAACTGAGATGCTTGAGAAGAATCCCTTACTGGGAAATATGATCCTGAGACCTGGTAGTGACAGTCGAAATTTCTCCATCACTATCCGGCAGGAGACAGAGTATGCTTAATTAAAATTTTTTTACAATAGTTAAAAAGCACGGTATCACTTTATTCACTAGCCATGTGCACTGAATAGATGGCAAGAATATTAGACACTAAATCTAACTGGAGAGTGTTTGTACAAACTGATATCTGTTTCAACTTAACTTTGTAGTTTTATTGTGGGGTCCCCCCATTGTCATAAATTAATATTTGGAGTTAATAGATTTTCAACTAATGCAGAAGAACAGAATACAATTTATTTTATTAATAACTTATTTGGCTATATTTTTTTAAATTGTACTAATTTATTTACAAAATTTGAATACCTTATTTTCCACATCAGATTCTTCCAATTGTCCTCAGCCCTCCACCTATCAGATTGTACAACTCCATGAAAGACACATTCTTGAACTTTGTCTAAATTGCCACTTGTTTGTACATAATATTATCTACTTGCCATTTAAAAGATTGCTAATTTATAGCTTATTATACTGAGTTCTGCAACAATTTTCTAACTTTTCTAGGAGGTTAGTTGAGAAAAATAGAAAGGAAAAATAACAATGATTTAAAAGCAAAACATCTTGATAAACTAAAAAGAATAAAATTTAGGGCTGCCATTATAATCCATAAGTTTAGAAGAATTCTTGCCAGAAAAGAGACTTCTGTCCACCAGTAACCCTTAGTCAAGAAACTTGTCCCATATAGGTTTTAGAAAATAGAACAATGCCATATAAAACACAGGATGTCTTTAATTCTCTATTTCTATTTTAAAAGCAAGAGGAAATGCAGGTGAACAAAATTTTATCTGGCAGATAATTTAAAAAAAGAAACATAGTTGATTTGAAAGTAAGATTAAACAAAAATGGATTCATTCCCCCCCCTTTTTTTCTTTTTGTCAAATTGAGGATTTGATCTATTTTCATGTGACAGTCTTCAGAAAAGAGCAAGGAAACACTGTCTGGTTCAAGATAAAGAAAAAAGAGTGTCAGGGATGTACCCTGTCTCTATACCTTTTCAATATATTATGAGGAACATATCATTTGGGAGGAGGGGCTTTATGAGGAGAAACATGGCATCAGGATTGGAGGAAGACTCAACAACAACCAGCATCATGTAGATGGCACAACCTTGCTTGTGAAATGTTGTTTAACCGTTTCATCTTGCTTGAATCCACAATCAACACTCCTGGCACCAGTAGCCAGAAAATCCAAAGATGAGTTGCTTTAGGAATGTCTGCTGTCAGGGACCTCTGCAGAGTGTTAAAGGGCAAAGATGTCAGTCTAAAGAATGAAGTGTGTCTGATCTTCCCTCCCACCCCTATAATCTTCTCAATTGCTTGCTATGCATCTGAGAAGAGGACAAGGACTAAGGATTACAGAAGAAGATTCAATGTCTTTGAGTTGTGGCGCTGGAGAAGGGCATTGAACATATCATGTACTGCCAAGAGAACAAACAGGTCTGTCATAGAGAGGGTGAAACCAAGTTTCTCTTGGAGGCAAGAAGTTTTAAACTCTATCTTACATACTTTGGGTATGTTGTCAGCAGGGACCAATCCTTGTAGAAGAACATCATGCTTGGCATGGTAGAAGATCCATGGAGGAGAGAAAGACATTAGATTAGAGAGATTGACACAGTGATTATGACAAGAGGATCAAGTGTGCTGGAGATGGAGAAGTTGGTTCACGATAGGGTATGGTTCAGAGCAGTTAATTGTAAGGTCACTGTGAGTCATAGTCAACTTGACAGCACATTATAACAAAACAGCTATAGGAAAGCATTACTTTCTGTATTATTTCCATTCAAAGTCAGTTTAATAAAATTATAATTTATTAACTTTGACATAAATTCCTTTGCTAGATTCCATCCTACTGGTAAATATAATTTAATTACAATACAAATATAAATAAAACCCATAAATTTAAATTTGTAAGTATAGAGACCTATTGTATTTTTATTAAAAACTGCATTTATGGCAAAAAATGCAGTACTTTGCACATCTCAGTTGTGAGCAAAATGCAATGTAAAAAAAAAGCCAAACCAACTAGCCTACACCCCTTTACAAGAGATCAGTCTACTATTTTAAAGACAATAATCTTTAAAAAGCCATCACATCTTGAGATTTTGTTTTGTTTTTCATGTACCATTGTAACACAGCTGGTTGTGGTTGTTATTATGTGCCATCAAGTCGCCTGTGGCTCATTGTGACTCTATACACAATAGCTCTGAAACCTACCCTTGAATCAGTCTCACCGTCTCTGACAGAACTACAACCATTACCCCAGTTACTGCGTCAAACCATCTTATCCAGGGTTTTTCTCTCCTATGCTATTCCTTCACCTTTCCAAGCATAATGTCTTTCTCCAAAGACTCTCCTCTCCGAAGACTGGTCCCCTCGGCCACATGCCAAAATATGTGAGATGGAGTTTCAAAATCCTTGCCTGTAAGGAGCAACTTGGTTTGATCCTCTCCAGAATAGACCTGTTTGTTCTCTTAGCAGTCCACGGTATGTTCAAACTTCTCTAGCACCACAACTCTTTTGTCATCCTTCGTCTTGTCTAGCTTTCTGATGCATAGCAATTAGTTGGGAAGACCATGGCCTGGATCAGGTGCACCTTCATCTCTAGGCTTGCATCATTGTTCTTTGGCACTTGGAAGAGGCCCCTGACAGCAGAATTTCCTAATGCAATTCACCTTTTGATTTCCTGCCTGCTGGTGCCAAGAAGTAGGAACAGAACAAGCTGAAATTCTTAACAACCTAGATCTCTTCTCCATCTATAATGGTGCTGCCACTTGGCCCAGTAGGGAGAATCACTGTTTTCTTGATGTTGAGCTTCAGTCCAAATTGGTGACTGTAGTTCTTTATCTTCTGCATCAAATGGCTCATGTTCTCCTTAGTTTCAGCCAGCAAGGTTGTATCAATGCTTAAGACAGGTTGTTGAGTCCTTCCTCCAATAATGATGCCACATTCTCCTTCAGAAAATCCAGCCTCCCAAATGATCTATTCTGCCTAAAAGTTGAAATGTTTGGAGAAAGAATACAACCCTGACTCATTGAAAATGGGGTTCATTGTAAAAAAGACCATTTCTAGATCTGTCCTGAAGTACAATGCTGTGAATGACAGGATACTATCAATACACATATGAAGAAGACCTGTCAATATCATGATCATTCAAATATACACAGCAACAACTAAACTCAAAGAACAGAAAAATGTAGACTTCTACCAACTTTTTCAGTCTGAAACATATTAAACATGCAACTAAGAGTAATTAATTGTTGACTGGAATGCAAAAGTTGGAAACTTTTTTAGGAAGGACCAGTTGTCTGAATAATTTTTTGCCACCAATAATTTATTCATTGCAAATACCTTTTATAAAAATAACACAAAAAGTTACTATGAAGATGAACCTCATCTAATGAAGTATGTAGGAATCAGTTTGGTTATATCTGTGGAAAGAATCATTGGAGAACCTCAACATCAGCTGTGGAAACCAGGCCGGATGCTGATTGTGGAACAATCACTTACCCAAATGCAAGTTCAAATTAAAGCTAAATAAAATTAAACCAAATGCACAAAAACTAAAATATGACCTTGACTCTACCTCACCTGAATGGATTGGAGGCACTGAACAATAGTGAACGAAGACCAGATGAGCTGTGGAATGATATAGAGAATATCATCCATGAAGAAAGCCAAAGGCCATTAAAAGTCAGATGATAAAGCTGCTGACTGCCTTTGAGTCGAGTATGACTCATAGTGACCCTACGAACAAAAGGCCTAAAGCCTTTCTATAACTATCAACATTTATCAAAGTTCATAGAGTTTCTGGATACATGTTGTTTAAGAAGTGGATGCCACTCCTGCTCCAAAATAGATGTCA